AAAAAAAAAAAAAAAAAAAAGATGTATTTGTCTCAAATGTCATGTTGAGATAAAAGCACCATGAGACTGCAACCCACCAATGACATCCCCCCATGGAGGTGAGCTGCTTCATAGAGTTGTCTGTTCTCCTCATCAGATTTTGCAGGAGTGAGAAAGAAAGATTTGTTGTATTAAGCCACCAAGAATTCGGGCCATTTTAGCTCCAAAGCTTTTTGGTTTCAAAGCCACCCTCACTGATTACACATGATTAGCACAGACAGGGTGTCCATAAATTTACAAAACCATGCCCGCCCACCTGGCATCACTATCCTAGACTAATAAATGACTGTGATTTGGAAATATTTATAATTGTAAGCTTAGAAAATCTGCACAGAAAGGTGAGCTGATTGAAACCAAAATATGTTAGGCACAGGTTCTTTTTTCTATAATAAAAAACAATTAAGTCTGCTTTTGTTATGTAGCTGTCAATAATGTGGTACCAGGAGTGGGAGGTGACTGAGAAGATACACAAACCTACATTACAAGATTTCCTTCCTGGATAACAGCACACTTCTGTAATGAAGTCCTAAAATAAGCTAGTAGCCCCACAGAGGGAAAATGTGATTGTTCGTAAGGAGAAAATGACATATTATCATGAGTTCAGCCACATAAACTGTGACTATGTGTATTTATCTTGAGACAATGCATATAATCACATGGTTTCCAGAGATGACTTAACAGCATCTCAGGGGAGGTCCACCACTATCACATCTAGTGTGACTGTAGGGAGGGTAGGCAGGGCAGGTCCTCTAGGTCTTCCTTTCAGTTACATAATGCACAACAGAAAGCGTCTTTGCCTTTTTTATTCTCAGAGAAAAAGTTTTGCAGCTTTAGCTGACTCAGTTACTTCTTTTCCTTTAGATGTGATCCCTTTAAAATAATCTGCTGGCAAGCAGGTTGATGGATGAACCTCAAAGAAGAACATAGTGATGAAAGGATCAATAGCTTTTACAATTGCTTTAAAGAACCAGGTAGCCGTATTTAAGATATAATTGGAATTCCCCTCTAAGAGAAAGAACAGGCTAAACCTGAGACGAAGAAAGACAAGCCATGTATAATGGTACTGCTGACACTTAGTCTTTGCAACTGTAAATGTACAAGAACCCCAAAGATCACTATCTGTCCTATATTTTAAGACACTTGTTGCAATGCACAGAATACTGTCGGCCGTTAAATGAGAAAACATGAGATGACATGGGAAAACACAGGATAACATGTTAAGACATCTAAAGACCAGAATGATCGCCAAAGACCCTCAATGGACACATACTATAAGTACTGAAAAGTAATGGCTGAAACTATAGGCTCAAAACTAAACATACGCAAGAATGCCATGTGTTATGGTGTTAAAAGCTCAGTCTTTGGAACCAGGTAAACCTGGAACTGTTAGGGTGGCTGTGTGGCTGTGACTGTATGGGTAGCCTATGTGGTTTCTTCAGGAGTTTTTCCTGGAAGGCAATGACCAAAGTCTACAAGTGGAGGTCAATAAGTGACAGTCAGCACCAAATCCTGCCTGCTACCTATCTTTGTAAATAAAGTTTTAGTGAAATATTGCTACACCTACTGTCTATGGCTGCTGGGTGGAAAGGCTGAGCCAAGGGGAAGCAGGGGAAGAGCTTGGGCCATCTAGCTGTACCAGAAACACGAAAACTATAGACGGGCGGGTCTGTGTCAAAAGGACAAGAAGTCAACACGTTCATGTTCTCAAAGGCTGAACATGAAATAATTTGAATTTACGTGAAACAGGGGATTTAAATAACAAACAATGTTGCAAACAGACAAATCCAGAAAGTAAAGTATTCTGTAAGACAACTGATCTGCTTTCTTCAGAAGTCAATGATGTGAAGAAAAACGAAAGGAAGCTGGAGGGGCTCGGGAGGCACTGATCTAAATCAAGAAGCTTAAGGTCGGGGCTTCTGCAGCATGCTGGTACAACCAATGCAAAGGAAATTTTTGACATGATTAGGAAATGTAAGTATCAACTAGGTATTAAACGATGCTAAAGATTTATTTGTATTTGGTATGATGATGGCACTAAGATTCTGGAAGAAATGGCCCAGATGCATGCTGAGCTATGTAGGGATTAAATGACATAGTATCTGAGATCTTCTTTAAAATGTTTCAGCCAAAAAAAATTAAATAAAAGTAAGTGTGGCAAAGACTTATTGGGGCTGGGGAGCAGACAAGTGACCTTTTTTTGCTATTATCTCTATTTTTGTGTATTTTAAGATGTTTGATAATATGAAGGAAGGATCAAGGGAAAGATGCTTTGGAAAAAGATTTTGCATGGAACTAAAGCTGTGAATATCTTTCCATTCTTTGTCTCAAGTTGGTCTGTGGGATCTGACCATCCAAAATCAACTGCCTGCAAATACCTTAATTATTATGAGCACTTACTGTGATAGCAAACAATGATGGTGCTGATGTGACTGGAAGTGTAGGTAGAGAAATAAATCATCTTTGAATCAATTAACAAATGGCAAAGAAAGTGCTATCACAATGTGTCTGTGATGTGCTATTCACTATTGCTACAGAAGAAATAATGCATTTTCGAGTGTTTTATTATTTCCTTTATGTGCTTTAAGTGCTCTGTCAGCTTGTTCCATACAGAAAAAAATACATTTTCCGTATGATAAAAGGACTAGTCAAAACCTATGTGAATAAAATTAGAGAGTAGAATAAAATTAAAATGACTTTTTTTCTTTTAATAGCTCTATCTACATTCAACATTTGAGATAAGATGTTAAATGCCACTGGTAGAAAGCTGTCCAAAATGCTGCCATTCAAGGCCAAGGGCAGGTAGTTTAAAAACTTCATTGACCGACCAGGTGCAGTGGCTCATGCCTGTAATCCCAGCACTTTGGGAGGCAGAGGTGGGTGGATCACCTGAGGTCAGGAGTTCGAGACCAGTCTCAGCAACATAGTGAAACCCCATCACTACTAAAAATACAAAAATTAGCCGGGTATGGTGGTGGGCACCTGAGATCCCAGCTACTTGGGAGGCTGAGGCAAGACAATTGCTTGAACCCAGGAGGTGGAGGTTGCAGTGAGCCGAGATCATGCCACTGCATTCCAGCCTGGGTGACAGAGCAAGTCTCTGTCTAAAAAAAAAAAAAAAGCAAAAGAAACTGCATTGACCCACCAGCACATTTTCTGATGTTATAATGAATCTATTTTTGTTTCTTTTGGGGAGATGCTGGTGTAGAGATGCTTTTAGCTAAGAACAACATCATCTCAGATTTTCACTTAAGGCTAATAAAATCTAACAATTTTAATAGTTGGGAGGACATCAATACAAATATAAACTTTTCTGTACTAAAACTGTAGAACTGATTATGATATATGAAGTGATGAAGCTAGGAGAGAGTCTACCATTTGCTGGGATTCTCTAATTACATAACTTACCTCGTTTACTGTTTTACAGTTCAAGAAGCGTTTTCACGTTAATTGCTCCACTCCATCTTTATTTCTACTCTGTGTGCAGGCAAGGCTTTATAAAGTAATGCTCTACAAAGAAACTGAGGCTTAGAGGGCAAAATGATGACTTGATCGAGGTCATACAGTTACCGAAAGGGTTGTGACAGGACTATTGATTTATAATTGATAAATTACTTAGAATAAATTGGGACAAGAGTAACTAAAATGGAGGCATGCTAAACATTGCTTACCTTTCAAAGCCGATCTGCCGAAATGTCTTCTCCCATGTTGAGCCTGTAATGGAAGGGAGAAGCATAATCAGTGCACATCAAGGACTCAGGTAGTTTTGTCCAGCTTTTCTGCACACATGCGAGATATATGGTTTTATGTTTGGGTAGGATCACTGGTTTTTCCTCAAATGCTTTACTCCCCACCCCCAGCCTCAGATGGACTTTATAATAGAGTACAGATAATTTAATAAAAAGTCAGCATTTACAGAAGTTGAGTCCACATAGGGTTTTTCTGTGTTTTTCTTTCTTTTTTTTTTTTTTTTTGAGACAGAGTCCCGCTTTGTCGCCCAGGCTGGAGTGCTGTGGTGTGATCTCAGCTCACTGCAACCTCTGCCTCCGAGGTTCAAGCAATCCTCCTGCCTCAGCCTCCCGAGTAGCTGGGATCACAGGTGTCTGCCACCACACTGGCTAATTTTTTGTATTTTTGGTAGAGAGAGGGTTTCATCATGCTGGTCAGGCTGGCTTGAATTCCTGATCTTGTGATCCACCCACCATGGCCTCCCAAAGTGCTGGGATTACAGGCGTGAGCCACCACACCTGGCCGCATAGGGTTTTAAGTGCATATAACCTGCAATGTGGCTGGGCACAGTGGCTCACACTTGTAATCCCAGCATTCTGCGAGGCCAAGGCAGGCAGATCACCTGAGGTTGAGGAGGGAGACCTAGGCATGTGTGGTTCCCTCCCCCTCTGTCATCCACTGTGCATCTCAATAAAAGAGAGAGCAGGCTAGCTGGCGCCTCCTGAATCTCCTTCCTGAAAACAACAGGCTAGTCCTTGGGGAAACTCTCCAGAAGGCACTTTTTTTACTTAAAACAAGATCAAACCGAAACCCTTTCATATGTAATTCCTGAAACTGTGAACAGAGACCTTTTCACATGTGAGTCCTAAAACTATGAACCTAAGATTCTTCCACGTGCAACATCTAAAGTATAAGCTTGGCTGTTAGGCACCTATGTCACCTCGCTCCCAGCTGAAATAAATTCCTTCCTCCTCCTCCTGTATTCAGTGTCTGAGAGATCCTTTCCCACAGCCGCCCCTGCTACAATGTCAGGAGTTCAAGACCAGCCCGGCCAACATGGCAAAACCCCATCTCAACTAAAAACACTAAAATTAGCCAGGCATGGTGGTGGGTGCCTGTAATCCCAGCTCTTGGTAGGCTGAGGCAGGAGAATCATTTGAACCTGGGAGACAGAAGTTGCAGTGAGTCAAGACTGTGCCACTGCACTCCACCTGGGTGACAAAAGCAAAACTCCATTTTAAAAAAACAAAACAACAGCAACAACAAAATCTGCAGTGCGACAGAAATCTCCATGCCAACCCCTCTGGTAAAGCAGTAGGCCACTCCAATCATTCTCTAAAAATCTAAGTGTGCCCTGCTGAGAAGAATCTGAGTGGAACTCTTCTGTTAAGCATAAACAGCTATACATTCTGAAATTCAACTTTTAATTTTGTGAGGCAATCCAGAAAGCCAGGTGACACATCACACACCAGGCCTTTATCTTACCAGTGTAGAAGCACAGAATTCATATTTTCTCTCTATTTTTAGCTAAACATGTTAAATCAGAAGAGCACAAAAATGCTATTCCAACTGATATCAAGAATGATATATCCACTGCCGGGCGCGGTGGCTCACGCCTGTAATCCCAGCACTTTGGGAGCCCAAGGCAGGTGGATCACGAGGTCAAGAGATGGAGACCATCCTGGTCAACATGGTGAAACCCTGTCTCTACTAAAAATACAAAACATTAGCTGGGCATGGTGGTGCCTGCCTGTAATCCCAGCTACTCAGGAGG